CACATCCACCCCACAGGGGAGGTGATGGATGTGGTGCTGAAAAACCTGCCCCCCCCAGCCGTGGTGCTGAAAACACTGCCCCTGTCCTTGGTGCTGAAAATACTGCCCCTGTCCTTGGTGCTGAAACTACTGCCCCTGGCCATGGTGCTGAAAATACTGAGCTGAATGAAGCCACGGCTCAGACTGAGATAAAGGGATGTCCTATGCTGTCTGCATTGGAAAGTACACACAATGTCTAGTATAGGCGTCCTGAACATGGTGCCTCTACATGTTTTGGATGTCAGCTTCTACAACCAGGTTATCTAGAGATGATGCGAGCAGAGGCCTGTAACAGAAGGCAGCCATAGTTTGTCTAGGAGTTGTAGGCCTCCTTTCCCTTATGTGTATGTTGGGGATCACTATGTTATCAGTGGAATGGGTAGGAGAGGAACCTGGGTGCTAGCAAAGTGGCACAGTGGATCCGGTGAGAGATATCAGTGCAGGGGTGAGGCTAAGCTGATCAGATGTCATCAGAGTAACTAGTCAACCATGGCTGTAGAAGTGAGAGTCAACATTTCACAGCTAGAACTGTGAAAAATAAAGGATCTCTGTCTCCTCCCTCATCTAGACCAGTGGTTCCCAACCCGGGGTCCTCGGATGGACTACACCTCTCAGAAACCCTCACCACTAGCTGTGCTAGCCAGGATTCCTGGGAGTTGCCGTTCAAGAGCATCTAGCACCCAAGGTTGGGAGCCACTGATCTAGCCAAAGATCTGGCCTACCTTCAGAAGGGGTGAGGCTGGAGCTTAGAAAAAACTGCATTTTGGGATTGCAACGGTCAAGATTCCCACCACTAGAATGGCCAAGGCTTTGCTGGCTGAGGGGTGCTGGGCATAATTTCTAACCCCAAATTAAGCCTTTCAAGCTTTGAGTGAGGGCAGCTTGACGTGGCAGACACTGGCAGCTCATGGACCAAGCTGGGAGCCCATCTCATCCCAGAATGATGGAGGATGTGGTCCCCATTCCACTGTCCACAAATTGCCTGTAGCATCAAATGCAAGAGGCCACCTTAGGACAGAGATTCCAGTTCTTACCCTTCCAGCAGGCGGCTCCTTCTGTTTGGTAGAAGATGTAATTCCATTTCCAGTACTCAACCAGCTGTGCAGTTAAGTTTCCGAAACTGAAGGGGGTGCCCTCTTTCACCACTGACAGCAAAAACCCTCTTAGTCGGTATCAGAATGATAGCCCAAGCCCTAATCTTACTATGGGGTCTGGTGGCAGATCAAGTGGATCAGTGGCATCAAAACGTGGACACTTAGCAGTAGAGCCTATGAGTCAGTGGTTCCCGAACTGTGCACCACAGTGATCCGGGATGCTGCCAAACCCAGCTTGGGGTGATGTGGACTCCTCGGGCTGGGCTTCTCCCCCTCGCCCAAAGTACAGTATGGGGGGAGCCACAGCCAGTGGCCAGTAAGTCAAGGGAGGTGTGAGGCGAAAAGGTTTGGGAGCGTTGTCCTCTGAAGATTCCGGCCACAGAGCCTGGAGAAACGTTAGGAAGAACAACCTTCAGAACACGGCCAAAGAGCCCGAAAAACCCACAACAACTGGTTTGGGAACCATTGGTATGAGCTGTTGTCTCAACACAGAATTTGATGCTCGAGGGCTGACATCCCGCCGCCCATTTTGGAGACGGTGGAGGCAGCCAGGTGGTTCTTTGGAGTTCGCAGGACCTGTTTGCCCAGCAACTGAAAAAGGCAACATCCACCCCAGAGGACTGGCGACAGGAAGGCAACTTTTAATAAAGAGACTCAGGCGTGGGCCAACTGGGCAAATTCCCACTGGACTGTGCTTTATTTCAGTCTAAGCAGAATATCATTAACTACAGAGCTACAGAGCTACAGAGATAACAATGTCCATTCGTCTTTCTTTATTATACTACAAGAAATCAAAAGAAGGATCAGTCAAAATAATCATAACCCTCTGGAATGCCAAAACTGCCTCCTCTTCCCCGGAGGAAGCAATGTTTCCTTTTTTATTTTTTGGAATGACCGAAACAGAAAGCTCCTTGGCGGGAAGGCAAGTGGCAGGGTGAGAAGACCTTCCTCCAAGTAGCCATCCGGTAGGGGAACGCAGTGGGAAAAAAAGGGAAATGAATGCCTGGAGGCCAGCAGGTATGTGGTTGTCCTCTTTAGAACCTAACATGAGCAAGATACTCTACTGGCCAGGATGGGTTAAATGGAACAAAAGAATCCGTGGGGGGCTTAGATTTGGAATTGGTTGTCAACCAGCCAGCAGATTCATCCATCAGAGATCAGCAAAACAGACTCCCTCCACATGTTCGAGCCTCAATCTGGGGTATCAGAGGACCTTCTCAATCCTTGGTTAGGCGTTCCACTCCATCGCTTTCCAGCTTGTCCAGTTCCCTTCTGTTTCAGGTTTGGGGAACTGGGTTACTGACCTGGGGCTGAAGTCCTCAAGTTTTCGCATGTGGTTCAGAAGGAAGACAGCAAACTGATTCCCTGCTTTGAAACA